TCCTGCTGACAGATATCACCAGAGTGAGAACAATCCAGAGCAAAGTGGGTGCTATCGTCATTGTGTTGATGAGAACATTGAAAGGAGAAACCACTATTTGGATCTTGCAGGAATAGAAAACTACACATCAAAGTTCGGTCCAGGTGATTTATGGTGCAACATTTTCATCTTTTATTTCTTCAGTTGCATGTTCAACATCAGGGACAGTGAATTGTGAACCTATGTGATTTGTCTGTAGTGACTTGCTGGAAGGAATAGGACTGTGTGAATACTGCAAGATAATTACTGGTGAAGGTGGTATCACAACGGAGTGGCTAATGTGCTGCAAGCCTGCTTTGAAGTACTTGTTTGTATAGCTAAACTTGGAGGTGAGCCTAGGAGAACGATCTTTACATCTAAATTGTTAAGTCTAGTCTATGGGTGAGGTGAGGACTGATTTTTCAATGTTAGAGCTTGTTCCCAAGGTGATACCCACACATCTTTTGTGCTCACTACTGACCCAAAGCTCTGAGAATGAAGCATACCTGGAATTTTGGCTTCTGTCCTCAAATTAAAGTGATTCAGATTTCCTCCCTTGTCCTGTCCTCTGCCAAGATTTCGCTGTTCTATTCACAGATATTTTGGTGAATTTAAGATAGATAGGGCCCAAGAGAAAGTGATGTAAAGACTTTTATACACAAATACACACACTCTTACGTAGATGTGTCTGTATATTTGTGTGTGTACTATTTACTAGTCAGAATTATTAAATGTAATTAAACTAGACAGCTATAATTGCTTCACTTCCTTAGGAAAAAATCACTCTGCTGATAATGCTATCCCTGCCAACTGAATGCTACTAATTAAAACTTGAAATACTAGATGACTAACTCAGCTTGTTATTTCCTAGGATCTCCTCCAGCCGCTCAAAAACATGACCCACCAAGCAGAGTTGTGAATCAAACTAGATCCCGTTCTCATGAACCTGAAACCTTCCATGCTCACCATAGGAAATCTCAAGTGCTGGATCCAAGCCACATCAATCTGGCTGAGAGTTCATATGCCAAGATCGCAGAAATCCAGCAAAGGCTTCGGAATCAGGACTCAAACAAGCACTTTGTGAGGTCTCCAAAGGCCCAGGGCAAAAACGTTGCTCCTGTGCATCCTGGAAGGGCAGTAAGAAATAAACCTTTTCAAGGGGCGCCCATGCCAATGGCTTCCCCAAGCGCACGGGTGGGCCAGAATCTTCCGTACCTCCCCTTGCAATCTCAACAGGTTCACAAGAAGCATAAGCAGAGGGCAAAGGAGAATCACCAAATGTGCAAAACCTTCCAGTCTGCAGGGACAGTTGTGGAAAAGGAACATGTGAGAGACCTGCCCACAGTCATTTTATATGAAGGCCAAGTTGGACAAATGATACAAAGACATGAACACCACCACCATCATGAGCACCACCACCACTACCATCACTTCTACCAGACATAGAATAGAATGTCCTCCAAGAATCATCCAATATGAAGGAAATGTGTTCTTGTGATATCAGAACTAAGGCATTACTATGATTAATATTATTGTTACTCGACTAATATTCAGCTAGCATATATTTTAGAGGTTATATGGAACTCTTGAAACTTACCCTATTTATATGTTGTGGAACTGCATAGCTTACTTAAACACCTTGTGGATTATTATTTTTTTTTAAGTGGCTTGTAAAACAGCAAACAGCTATAGCTTTTTGAGCTGTGATTTAATACAGGTCGTCAACGCACTTCTTTACAAGTCCTACTTCCATTGTAGTAGGAAAGATACTTCAAACACTCTTGCAGACATCTAGCTCACCAGTCTGCTGTATGTCGGCTGATCGCACACGAGCCTTTTATCAGGGGAGCAATGTTCGAGGGGTTGGACTCCAGAGATACTCGGAATAACAGAAAATACAAACAGCTGCTACCTCTAGTATTATTCAGATTTTATTTTCTTGTTATTGATTGTAATGTGCTATGGGGAGGGTTGGGATTTTAATATACTGCATTCATGTAGCCTGTTTGTGTTCACATCCTTTAAAATTAGCTTAATAATTACACGGAAGTATTAGTTAAATGTGTCAACAGAGCTACATTTGTATGACTTACACTTTATTTTCTTGGAGATTCTTCACTGACACAAGTACAGTCTGTTATATGCTGGGTAGTATTTAAATATACTTTTTTTTTTTGTGGGGTTTTTTGTTTTGTTTTGGGGTTTTTTTGTCTTCTGTTGCTTACTCTCCATTCTGTTTGGGGTAGCCATTTGAGAAGAGGAGGATATGAAATGGAGTTTTCAAAAGCATCACTAGACTTTAGTGCTTGGGCCATAAGTATCATTCATAGGGGTTTAAGAAGGAGTGGGGTTGTTTGGGTGTTGTGGTTTTTTTTTGTTTAAATCCACAGTTCTTTGTTTTGAGAAAGAATTGAGGAAAATATACTTTCTCACTTTAAATGTTGGCAAATAAATATAAAGTATAAATATAAATATATATATTTAAATATGCACACTCTCAGGTACATTTTGTTGTGTTTTAGAAATCTGTGGTTTGAATATTAACATTATAGTGTTTTTTTTCCACAATGGTGACTTTTTAGAAACATATGCCATGGCATTCTCTTGAGTGTCTCTGATTTAAATTTCCCCAGCACCTACTAGTTTGTGCTTCTCCCATTTCAGAGACAATTCAACATCTAAAAAAATGTATAATTCACAATCATTCTGGCCACTTCTACTTTTTCCGTATCAAAGGGCTTCCATTCCATGAAGGAGAATGAGACCATATTCACAAGATCTTAGTGGCTCCTGAGAAATTTTAATGGTCAAAAGCAAATTGGAAAAGTTTTTAAAAAGGGTTAGTACATTCAAGTTTTATGTTTTGTGGGGCTCATATTTATAACACATTCAGTTGGGGTTTCTACAGATCACCATTTTTCAGGTAGAAAGTGACTGAAAAACACCTATGTTGCTTTTGGAGCTTTACAGAACTCCTCACATAAAAACATAATTGTTCTATAAACGTATTTGCTTTTGGTTTTAATTATTTTAAATGTTGTGGTATTTTGTCTATAGTATATATTGTAAAATGTAACTATCCCACATTGTTGCAAGACCTTTATGATTAGGGTATTATTTTTTTTCTGACTAGTGTTTTGATCAGTTGAAAATGGAGTGTTTCCATACTGCTGATCACTTTTAGAGGGATGTTGTCCTTTCTAAGAGCATGGAGACATCAACTTTTAAAGAAAAGTGGAAAGCCTTGCCTTCTTGTGGAATTGGAATAGAATCACTGCTTCGTGGTAATTAGGTCCATCTCTTGTCTCCCTGGATCAGTAGTTGTTTAGACTTATTGTCCTCTTTAAAAAATCTGGTTTATTTTATTTTATTTTTTTTAGCTGTCAACAGTGTGTTCTCTTAAACCTAACAATGTTTTTAAAATGTGTTTGATCTCTGTGACAACTATACTGTTCTGTTTATTTTTAAAATTCCTAAAGTCCAAAAATATTTATATGGAGAATTTTCTGTATTGAAAATATGAAAAGGCCACAAATTTGGTTAGTTACCACTGAGTTGTTCTAGTCTAAGCCTTTTTTGCTGCTTGTGTATCATTCTTTTTCAATGTATATATAACTATGGACTGCAAAAACAAAAAGGCATTTATATGTCTAGTAGAAGGAATAAGCTTATTTATATTATAGTGTTAACAAAGTCTGATGTATGCAAGTGACTTACTTTATACCGCATGCAAACACGCAAGTGTACATTCCATCTAAGAAGGGATGCCATGCTATTTGTCTTGAAGATGTAATTAAAGCTGATCTCTTTTCAGTAGAGCATATGCTGGAAAGACTAGGAGGTGAGAATTGTTTCGTAGTCAATTCTTTTTAATGCAATGGAAAAGGTTCTGGAAAATGAGAGCGCTTTCAGAACTGTGGGCTTTTCTAAGAAAGGGCAGCAAAGGGGCATAAGTGCTCTTTCACCCAGAGATAATTTGCTGGAAAAGATAACAGCACCAATAAAAAAATCCCATCTGATTATATAGTGTGCAGTACTAACTGTGGCAAGTGAACTCTGAAAAGTAACACAACTGACTGTTGGTTACAATCTTGCATTCATTTGTTTTGGTTTATTCTGTTTGGAGATTCAAAAGACAAATATTGCCTTGCTTAGATTCTGTGAAATACAAGTACATTTTAATAATGTGGCATCCCCATAATATAACTTTACACCAGCCATGTATGAACATACAGTATCTAAATACTGTGTTGCAGTTGTTATATGCTTTGTTTGAATAACATGTAGCACAGTTTCTTTTCACAGAACCTTAAATTTCCATATCTTTTAAAAATGTTTGCTTTTCAGTATTTTGTATAGTAAATATAGATGGTTTTGACTAAATGCTTTATTTATTTAACAGCAAAACTGTGCCAAGAGAACCCCCTGTTAATTAAAGTTTTACTAGTTCAGAAAGTATATTTCCTTCTTCTTCTTGTGGATTTCAGGGGCTTATTGCAATTGCTGTCAGTGCTTGCAGGATCCCAATGATGAAAGAGTTTGCATTAACATTTTTGCGAGCAGGATCAGGCCATAAGGTATGGACTGGGTATGCTTTGGTTTTATATTTAAGCTGTCAAGTTTCACAGTTCAATTTCTTGTCCCCTACTATCAGTTACTAAGTAACTGATTTTTCAGCTTGTTATTGATTCTAAAAACCTTAAAAAAAGAAAAAATATTATTTAAGTTTCTCAAAACTGTGACTGAATCCAAATTTAAAACAGATTAGTTGCTGGTTAAACAAAACATTTCATTTCCAGGAAAAAAAAATAATCAAGAGTTGAGTATATGATTACGATTTAAAAGTAAAATGGAGTGGCATGAAGTATTTTCAAATGAAAACAGCCTTTCCACTTACTTTTTCTCATTTTACACAAACCAATTCAGCAAAACTAAGCCAATCCCAAAATTTGCACTCTTTGCTGAGAAGATTTCAAGTGAAAAATTTGCTCAGTCCTACCAGCTCTAATTTTTGGGAAGCTGGGTTTTTGAAAAGAAGGATTGCTAAGCTCTTCTCACAACTTCATGACCACCTAACATGAAGTAAACTAAGCTAAAGATAGCAAAATAAAATCTCTCTCCCAGTGAAACTTCTGGCAAGACATCCAGATTCCCACTGGGTTCAGGGTGCCTATAATTGCATTCCAGGAATGTGGGTTTGAAATCTAGGTAATGTGCAGACAGTGACTTCAGTATTTATTTTTCATGCATCTTACTGTTGATGGTTTTGTAGTAGGTAATATTAAATGCAAGTTTTACTGTAAGAGATCAAGCTGGTAAGTTAATTAAGATTAGCAGCAAATACTGTGCTTTATACTTGTGTCATTGGAGGACATCAAGGCACATCCAAATGCCTTTGAAACATCTACACGTCATTTAGTCACTGTTAAAAATTAAGCCCCAGTTCTGCCCTAAGTTGATAAAGTACAGGTTCTGGCAATTTGGCAGACCCCAGCCCCCTAAGGCCATACCTAATTAAAAAGCCACATATATGACCTCTATAACTGCCTTCCTGCTCCAGTCATCATGAGCACAGAACAGCCAAGTATAGCTGGAGAAATACCTTAAAGGTGTATGTTTGTGTGTGTGTATATATATGTAAGTGTGTATATATATATGTATATGTGCGTGCTCTGGCAGAAGTTAGTGAATGGCACAAGATGGATTCTGTCAGAGGTGATCTTTTTATAAAGGGATAAGTACTGTGTATGCTTAACAGTCTATAAGTTCTCACATAAATATACAGATACAATTAATAGATACTGTTCCCCATATGTCATTGTGTACCTCAATGATTGAATGACAGATTTCATTTGTATTCCAGTTAACAAAAAATTTAAGCCCCTTAGGGCCTAAATGATACTTGAGAAAAATTCAACGTGCTAGAAAATTTGCAAAAAACATTCACCCTAATTTTTGTCTGGAGTATAGGCAAGAATGTTCATGTTTGGAAACATGTCAGCTAATCAAGTCTCACCTTTAATTACCTTGATGCAATTTATCAAGATTTGAAAATATGTTTTCAAACATGACTTATTCATGGTTTTGCTGGGAACCAAGTCATATTCAGCATCCTGTTAGTTGTCAGACTTCTTTTTTAAAAAAATGTACCAAGCAGAAACATGTTTGTAAATCCATGAAATAAAAATGGAACTTAATGTGTTTTCTAAATAGCTTCTGGAAGAAGATTTCTTTTCTAATGTACCTAGCAGCAAAAATTTTATCACATAAAGATTTATTTTCTATATATATTTGACAGCTGTTCTGTTGATTTGACTTGGAAAGGGCTATTTTGGGATGTTCTTGGCTTGTGTACATTTAAAATATGTTCAAAACGGGCTTGAAGTAACAGACATAGAAAAGCAAATAACTTTATATTGAAATTGTTCAGCACACATTGCACTGCA